TCATCATTCTTGATGTCCCTCCGATAATGCGTGAGTAGTTTACCACAGACCTACGGGTCTGTAGTTAGTAGCTAGATGGCGCTTCTCTCATTTTGATCTTCAATACAATGTTCTCCTCGACGTTCTTGGAGATCTATTTGATGTAACTCTTTTTTTGCAGTGTGTTTGTCGGGATCCGGTGAATTGTGAGTTTATGATCAGATATATCCATGAATATTAGTTGGGTTTTCTCTGAGTTCTTTTATGCATGATTGTTATAGCCTCGTATTTCTTCTCCGATTTATTGGTTTGGTTTTGCCAACTAGATTGATTTATCTTGCCATGGGAAGAGGTGCTTTGTGATGGGTTTGATCTTGCAGTGTTCAATCTCAGTGATAGAAAGAGACATGACACGCATGTATCATTGTTATTAAGGGTAACAAGATGGGGTTTATTCATACGTGAGTGTATCTTGTCTACATCATGTCATCTTTCTTAATGCATTACTCAGTAATATACTAGATGCATGCTGGATAGCGGTCGATGTGTGGAGTAATAGCAGTAGTTGCAGTATCATTTTGGTCTACTAATCTTGGATGTGATGCCTATATACATGATCATTGCCTTGGATATCATCATAATTATTTGCTTTTCTATCAATTTCCCAATAGTAATATGTTTACCCACCGTATACTATTTTCTCGAGAGAAGCCTCTAGTGAAAACTATGGCCCCGGGGTCTATTTTTATTATATATTAAAACGGAAAATACTTTGCTACAATTTCCTTTTATTTATTTTAGTTTGTGTTTTAGTTAGACCTATTTATCAAATCCTATACAATTTAATCTATCTCAATACCATTGAGGGATTGACAACCCCTCTACGCGTTGGGTTGCAAGTATTTGTTATTTGTGTGCAGGTGTTGTTTACATAGTGTTGCTCGATTCTCCTACTGGATTGATAACTTTGGTTTCATAACTGAGGGAAATACTTATCTCTGTTGTACTGCATCATCCCTCCTCTTCGGGGAAATCCCAACATAGCTCACAAGTAGTAGGAAGAATTTCTCGCGCCGTTGCCGGGGGACATCATCAACATCTATCAAGGACCTACGCATAAACTTTCAACTCCTTATTTGACTTTGCCTCTCATTTTCATCTCTCCCACTTCTAAAACGTTTTATAAAAAACACAAAAATATTTTACTTTGTTGCTTTGCTTGTTTGTTTGCCATAATTGTGTGTTTATTGAAAATCAGAAAGCAAAAAGCTTATGGATCCTCATCCACTTGCTAATCTTTTTAAAAGATACAAGAAACAATTACTGGTGAGTTAAGTGCACTATATTTTCTTTATGAAGTTTTTTATTGAAATTTGTGAATCTAAAAATTGTGATGAAGTGCTAAAAGAAGAACATTATAAAGTGGTTCATGATAGCTCCTTGAATGAAAAGCATGATTGCAATGAGGTTATTATAAATTATATTAGTGTCAATCGTGTTAATCATATGCAAAACCCCAAGCTTGTGGATGTTAATTGTGCTATGTCCACTACTTATTGTAATGATCATGATTGGGATGATTCTTCTTATGATCCTGAAAATTTATTTAAGCCTCATGATGAATATGAAATTGATAATAATGTTTGAAATATTATTGAAAGTGGGTTTGGAAGAGCGTCAAATCCAAGTAAAAATAATCCCACATATTTTTAGAATGTTCAATCTTATGAATTTATTGATAAAAGTGGATTTGGAGAGGTCATGACTCTAGTTGATGTTAATCCCACTACCTTGGAAGATTGTAAAAAATTTTATGCCTGTGGATCATGGAGAGAAAATTTTATATGATAGCTATATTGTTGAATTTGACTATGATCCTACTTGTAATTATTGTGAGAGAGTAAAATATGGTTGTAGATATTTTCATGTTACTAAATTACATCTCGTTGTGATGAGATTGCTATTGTTTCTTTATTCTTCCTTGCATAAGCTAGTTTTTGCTTGCCTTGATAATTTGATTGCTTATAAAATGGCTATGCATAGGAAGTATCTTAGACTTAAATATGTTCTTGACTACTACATGATGCTCTCTTTGTGTTTCAATTATTATCTTTCATGCAAGCATCATTAAAATTATCAATGCCTAGCTAAAAGGGTTTAAACAAAAGCGCTTGTTGGGAGGCAACCCAATAGTTATCCTCTTTCCCTTTCTGTTCTTCAATAAATATGAAATTATACTACTTTTATGATTGTGTTTTAGTGTTTCAATTAGTGTTTGTGCCAAGTAAAGCCTTTGGCATAATTTGGGTGATAATTGATTTGATTATGTGCATTAACAAAAACTTTTGCGTCCAGTAGCAGAATTGTTAAAATTCGCTAGAGTGTGATAAAATTCTGAATGTTTTACATATGATTGATATACAAAATTTCCCATGTTGTCCTAATTATTCAGAATTTTTGGAATTACAGAAGTATGGTCAAAGTTCAGATTACTACAGACTATTCTGTTTTTGACAGGTTCTGTTTTCGTTGCATTGTGTGCTTATTTTGATGTATCTATGAGGGGGTATAAAGCCATGGTAAAGTTAGAATATAGTTGGTATAATGCAATAACAAAATATGAATGGGTTCGCAATAGTACTTAAAGTGGTGATTTGCTTTATTATGCTAACGGATCTCACGAAGGTTTTTGTTAAGTTTTGTGTGATTGAAGTTTTCATGTTTTGGGTGAGATCACAATGGATGAAGGAATAAGGAGTGGAAAGA